ATAGTAAAGCACAGTATTTTACAGAATATTATAGTACAGTACAGTATAGTATAAGTATAAGTATACAAGTGTATGTAGTTCCACAGAGGTGACTCCTAAAAACAGTGTTACTGCTGGAGATTAAAGACATCTTGTTCACCTGGCTCCAGGTCATCCAGTCCAGCTACAAGAGCAGAACCTTCATTTGTCAGGTCTACGTCTGCAGTTTTATACTCCTTCCTTCCACACCTGCAGAACAAGAAAAGCAAATACCAACATTGATCATTTCTTTACAATTGTACCTTCACACTCCTTGAGGTACTTGCAAATGTTAGGGAATACTTTGCAAGTCTAAATTTAGGAAGTTAAAGTTTCAGTATAAATACCAGGAACCAGGAAGACGATTTTCTTTAGGTTTGTAAGCAAACGTCTGCATGTCCTCTCTCATTTTCATCTGAGGAAATAAAACATTAAAATAACTCAAACAGAATACTTCTGAATCTTTTTTACTGAATCATATAGAAATGTGTGTGTAAAGAAATATGTGTATACACATAATGAGTGCTAACACTTGTTAGAAGTGCTGAATGTTTAATTTTTACATTTCATGAAACAAAACCTGCAGATCTGATGTGTTTCACCTGCTAATCTACAGGATTTCTGATGTTTAATGTCTTTTCTTTGGTTGGTTATCTTAAATATTTTAATTCAGGTGTTTATTTAAAGCAGTAGTACACAACCACTGGGACAAGGACCAGTACCGGTCCAGGGATCATTTGGCACCAAGCTGCATAAACACGTTCTGGTATCTTTAAATACTTCATCATACTTTCAGCTCATTCAGTCATTGAGGTATGAAAACATTCAGCTCGTTAAAAACTTTACAGCTATGACTTTTGTAACTTTAAAACTTAAATATACTAAAAATATTTAACAAGTACTTACAATCATTTTCCACAGAAATTATTTGAAAACTATGTTCTCTTTGAAATCTACTTCAGCATACATCCTTTTAGCTTTTAACTACTGCTGATTCTATCTGGTAGCTACAGTTTTCAACATTTTAGCTTTTAGCTATTGTATTGCTAATTTTGGCTTATATCTTCTATTTTTTGACTGTAATTAACTACTTTTTTATATTACATGTACCTGTATCAAACCATATCGAACAGTACTTTAGGTTCAATACACACTTGTATGGAACAATACAGATTTTAAAAATTTACTTTATCAACATGTCTACTGAAGATGCTCTGTGTTGAAGGATCAGTGGATCTGTGTTCGA